TTTGCACCCAAGCTGTTATTTCACGTAAAACCCTTCGCAGGTCAGTTACCTTTTCTGACCTGGGTCCAGCCTGTGTTCTCCCACCCCACCAATTACAGTTTTTTTGTTTCCAGGTGCTTTCAGGTATTTCTGTGGGGTGGGGAGGCTGTCTCTTAAGCCAGCTGAAGACTCTCATTGTTTGCTTCCCCCACTTCATATAGAACTTCCCTAAGGCGGGAAACCTTTGTTTGCAATCCCACCCCACTCCACTCTGGAAAAGTCCCAGCTTCAAGATGGATTACAGTACCAGGTGACAACGTTATGCTTATAAAATGCACATGGGATCTTTTTCAGGGGAAAAGGCAATATGCTACATTTACTGAAAATACAGCATAAAAATTAGCAGATTCATTCACACTATACATACACACAGGTCCCACAGATGGTCTTATAGTTACCAGTCTGTTGTAGCTCGAGTCAATCTAATGGCCAGTTAGATTGAGCATGAGTGAGGAGCTGGGCTCTGTCAGTCGCGATCCGATGCTCTGAGTCCTTGCAGGACTGAACCCAGAGTTCCATGGAGAAACACCGCATCTTTAGACTTGTAAATTCCCATTCGAGACTACTACAATTACTATCTTCTAGGGTTGTCAAGTAATCAAAAAAATTAATTGTGATTAATCGTGCTGTTAAACAATAATAGAATACCTTTTATTTAAATATTTTGGATATTTTATACATTTTGAAATATATTGATTTCAACTGCAACACAGAGTCTTGTGGCACCTTTCAGACTAACAGAAGTATTGGAGCATAAGCTTTCGTGGGTGAATCCACACTTCTTCAGACGCAAGACGTGCCAGAAGACTCTTTGTTGCTTTTTACAGATCCAGACTAACACAGCTATCCCTCTGATACTTAACTGCAACACAGAATACAAAGTATACAGTGAGAACTTTATATTGTTATTATAAATACTTGCACTGTAAAAAACAAAAGAAATAGTATTTTTCAATTCACCTACTGCAAGTACTGTAGTGCAATCTCTTTTATCATGAAAATTGACCTTACAAATGTAGAATTATGTAGAAAAATATCTGCATTCAATAATAAAACAATGTAAAACTTTAGAGCCTACAACTCCACTCAGTTCTACTTCTTGTACAGCCAATCACTCAGAAAAACAAGTTTGGTTTCAATTTGCAGGAGATAATGCTGCCCACTTCTTGTTTACAAGTCACCTGAAAGTGAGAACAGGC